TTTTCATTGTTTTGATAAATATATTTACACACCATTGTCAAATTTTTAGTAGCACCATATACAGTATAGTTAATTGATGTTTATTATATTGTAGTATGTTGTTTGTTGATGTGTTCTGTAAAACTGCATAGTCTATATATTATTCACATATTTATTGATAGCACATATTTAAAATATGCTACCCAATATATAACATTGAATACTATATATGATAAATTCATATTTATTTTTATATATATATACATAAATATACTGCTTTATACATGTACTGTACGTAATTTTATCTGATATACATATACATACAATATATCATAATTATCATTGTATGTGTATATACATATTTACAAGTATATATGTATGATAAATATATCACGTATGCACTCAATCGTTTTTGGTAAATGTATATATATTTATTATTATATTTGTTTCATTATATTAAATTACTTTGCTTCGAGTGATCCCCACCATGACATTTCAAAACAGCTTGTTGACACCACTTTTGTCTGAAGCTTTTGTCACGGGACTTTTGCCCAACTATATAACTATCCCAATCATTTGTTTCACCTGGCAGGTCATTGTGCATGTCAGTCTGTCAAACAGGATATAAACATGTCAGTGGGCCATGTGAAGTAAACTCCAGAGCTCTCAACAGGTTTGCTTAAACATGACCAAACAGGCCAGTGGACCACCTGAGCCAAACAAACAAACATGCCCAAACATGTCAGCACACCGCCTGTCAAACATGTTTGTAAAAACATGACTGAAACAAGCCAGTGGACCACCTGAACCAAAGTCAAAAGCTCGCAAGCTCGTGTGTAAACTAGACAAAACCATGCCAGCGTTACTTCACCAGATCGCTGCAGCTGCAACTCTCTATTCCTCCACCAGACCTCTTCAATCAAAACCGATTAGGTCCCACAGGTAGAGCAACGTGTCAGGCCTATGCCTCCCCCGGACCTCTTCAGTCAAAACCGATTAGGTCCCACTGGCAGAGCACTGTGTCAGGATGCTTGCAATGCATCATAGACAGGCCAGGACTGCAGCCGCTCCAGCGTCGAAGCAGCTTTGGTTTCCAACTTGTCAGTCAGTTCTCGCAAGTAGGTAGGAGGGCCTCTGTGTAAAAGCTCCTCCACTTGCTCCGTGAACCCCAGCAAGATGAGATTCTTCAGTTTGCGGGCACGCGTCAGCATGACATAGATGGCTAGCCACCAGTCGGCATCCTCTAGGCCACCACCACGACGCAAATCAACCAGCACACCTCCGTCCAAAGTCAAGCCTTGCGCGCTGTAAGCAGTGCGCAGCATGCCATGCAAAAGAGGAAACTGCCAGCGAATCACTTCAATTTTCTCGGTTTCCTCGCCTAGCTTCAAATCAATTTTGAACTCTGCATGCACCAATTCCACAAAGAACAATGTCTTTGCGTCAGTTGTGTGATCGGCCACATTCTGAAACTTTTCTTCCCACGTCTGCAACAGAGCATCTTCCATGGGCGAATTCTTTCCTTTAAGTAATTTCACCCAGATACCTTTGGCCATGTAGTCCGGAAAAAAATGACAGAATCCAGGTTCCCGACGGTCCAGGCGCTTCTGATCTTCATGGTGCAAATCCACTTTCACTACCACTGCCAGTTTGTCTTTAACCAATCCAAGGTGTGGAGCCAAGACATCCGCCAGTCGCACAACCATGTTCTCGTGCACCAGTAGCATGCCTTGCAATTTGCCAGTGCGATGCGGGTTTGGAACAGTGAGCAGCTGATGTGTCAGCTGCTTGTCTATGGCTTTATTTTTTCTGGAATGCCTTTGGTCAGCAGCTTGCAAACAAAATAACGGCACATCCAGGTCTTGCGCATCTCGATTTGCCCGTTCCACCATGCTGCGAGCAATGTTCTCCCAATACATTCCAATGACGTGACCATGCTTGAACAAGTCCGTGGTTAGTTCTTTCTTGCAATTTTCGATTTTGCGAGTGCGCAGCTGAGCCAAGTGATCCTCGGACAAAGGAGCAGCAGGCGTGCACGTGCGCATGGCTGTTGTGATTTCTGGCAGGTGAGCATCCAGAAACCGCTTCGACTTCTTCAAATGAATCACTGTATCAATGGTCATCAATGCCGCCTGGGCAGCATGGTGTTCTGTCTGCACTCTGTGCGGCATTTTGCGGATCAGCTCTTCGAGATTGTCAGCTAAGGAGATCTCGTTGGCAGGCTTGATCTGCAAAAAATCACCTGCAATCAGCAAAATTGGTATGTGTCCCATGAGCTCTCCTGGGTGGAAATAGCTGGCTGGATCAAGGCCTTCATCTTGACGGGCACGCATGCTGCGGTAAAGCATCATGTTTTCCACTGCAGCTGGCACCAAACTGATTTCATCTTGAATGACCAACATTTTAGGCTGCCAGCGTTGTTTCATCTCTTGCTCTTTTGTCTTCAAGGCCAAATGCTTGTTGCGCAAACTGGCTACACGATACGAGCAAGCAGTATGACATGTTCGCGCGCGATAGACATCATTGGAAATGGCATCCGATTGGGCGTGGCTGAAGGTGGCAATCATTGTGTATCGCTCTTCTTCTCCGGGTCTGGCTGGAAAAAAGCGACAAAAAACATCCAGCATGAGCTCTAAAATGATTGTCGTCTTGCCAGTGCCACCGGCGCCAATCAAAAGGCATGCGTGCTGCGCACGGTTTCGCAAAGGTGTTTTGTTCTCTTCTTCCTGTAAAGCTACATCCATTGCCTCACCAAACCATCTGCAAGCAGACAATTGCTCCGGCGCCAGCTTGAATCCACCGGCAGACTTTTCAAACGCAGCAACCTTCCGCGCCATCGCTGCAGATGGCTTGCTAAAGGTGCGCCATTCTGCTTCTGGAATCGCGACATCACTGTTTGCAGCCAGCTCTCCTGCGCGCTCTGCGCAGTCGCTCGTAGCAGCCCGTTCCGCCGACAAGCGGCTGAGGCCCATGCTATCATTTGTCATGGCGGCGCGCTGAGCATCCAGTAGCGGCTGCGTGATCATGGGCGCTTTCTCTTTCAACCTCAGTTGTTCTGCTCGTGGATTCACTGCAGTGCCACTCGCGCGCTTGTAGGCCGCAGTTCTATGCAACGCTTCTTCATCCCCTGTCAAGGGCAAAAGGCCCGCAGAAATCATGTCGCGCACAAACTTGGTATGCTTTTGACGATGAAAGGTCATGGCTTGCGAACGCTGCGATGAAGTCAGTGGATGATGTACTTTTAAGGGTGCATCTCCAGCCTTCAGTTGAACCTCCCCATCGATGTCTGGATCCAAAGCATCTTCGAAGGCTGGTTCAAAGGATTCGCCAGTATCTCCAGTCCCGTGGCCTTCACGCACTAATCCTGGATCTTCTTTTGCATCTGCGTCCAAAGCATACGACTTGGTTTTGGGTGCTGCCTTAGCACGTCCGTAAGCATCTAAGTTCTTGACCACTCTTTTTGTCAAGTAGCAAACATACTCTTGGACAGTCAAACGGTTCTGCAACTTTGCGCTCGCATCGCAACCCAGTTTGTTCGTGCAATCCTTGTCCAATGGAATCAAGTATTTCTCTTGAGCGAATTCTTTTTGCAACTGGAATACTTCCAAGCACTCCCACAAAGTAGGCATTTCCATCCGTGCTTCACTTTTTTTTCAGCATCCGCAGCTTTGGGCAAAACAGTGTGCTGCCAGTAGTGTTTCCATGCTCTTGGAAAGGCATCATATGGATTTTCATGCTCTCCTCGCTTCATCTTTTTGGTTACTTTCTCCACATCCAGAAAGATGGCCCTGTAAGGGTCCTGCGGATTGCCTTTTTCATCCATGTCATTGTTTTGCCCCAAAGGCTTGAAGAGTAGCAACTTGATCAAACTCATCTTATGCGGATCTACATCTGGCGATGGAATATGCATACCTTCCAGCTGTGGGATCTTTGGAATTAAACTGAGACGCTGTGTCTTCACTAACGCAGATGGTTTGTAATCTGCATCGTAGTCGAAGGTAATCACATAGTCTCCCAAAGGATCTCGACTGGCCAATGTGCTTACTTCCACTCAAACTCCTCGCCTGCGCAGCACTCGCAGATTGGTCACCCTCTGCCATCACCTGCCAAGCAAACAAAAACACGCAAGAAGACACTACTGATCACACAACCTCCTCCTGCTGAATTCTTCTATGATGATGTCCATCCTGCCTCTGGCCCGCGATCGAGTAGATGAGGGCTCAGATGCTCCAACAAATGTTCCGATGTCACATATCCACCATGCCACCATAGCTGTGATACACAACAGAAACCCTGTGTGATGTTGACTGTCTCAAGCATCAATCCAGCATGAGATCACTTCAAGTAATTTGTAGTAACTTGCTGTAAGATGTTGCCTGTCTCAAGCGTCTTTGCAAACAGCTCCAAAGGTACAGCAGTGGAAATGTCTCTGTCCACCCCAGTGACTCTGTCATCTGTTCAAACTGATTGCTTCAAACTTTGCCACCTGCAAAGTAAGAAGTGGCATTGCCCCGGTCACTCTACCACACACGCGCGAGTTTGCAAGTAATATATAACATACTTGTCTGACATTCTTTCTAACTTTCTTCTGCACATTCTTTGTCCCATATCTTCCTACATGAGGTCCGGCAGGGAACACTTGGCGTGGATACTCGCGGTTGATGTCCGGCAGGGAACACTGGGCGTGGATGGTCGTGGTTGAGGTCCGGCAGGGAACACTGGGCGTGGATGGTCGTGGTTGAGGTCCGGCAGGGAACACTGGGCGTGGATGGTCGTGGTTGAGGTCCGACAGAGAACACTGTGCGTCGAGGGTCGCGGTTGAGCAGGAGGAGGAGGAGAGGAGAGGAGGAGAGGAGCAGGCAACTGACATAAAATCTAACAACCCTCACCTGGCAGGTGGGGAAAAATATAGATATTTGTTCTACATATGACATCCATAGCTCTGTTAAGTAACCAGAGGGTAAATACTTTACAATCCCCTTTTGACCTTGTGGGATTCCCGACTGTTTCCCATTCGCCAGGTGGCGCGCCCGGATTGGCAGTGACTGGCACTACGTTGATGGGCCTGAGCATCTTTCAGCCTTTCGCCTGGCTGGCGACCGCCAGTTGCGTGTGGAGATGTTGACCCAAAAAGAAGTGTTGAAGGTGGCTCATCTCTATACCATGTGCAAGCCAGGCTGGTGTCGAAACATGTTGATTCAAGATGCTGCTGTATTTGTCATTTTTTTTTGGTCATGTTCAAGGTAAAAAAAGGTGGGATGAGAATCCCATGTGCTGTTTGATTTTTACTATGTTCATCTATGTTCTTTTTGTTCATGCATATCTGCGTATACATATAAAATTTAATATAGTACTTGTACATGAAATCATATCATCAAGGGCCAGAGCGAGTAGTGGCGCAAACCAGAAGCCAGGTCATCATATCAACGTGAAGGTCATCATGTTCTCTCAGGAGCACGTGAGTCTTGTGCAAGGCCAACTTAGTAGGCGCCATGCAACGAAGCCTACGGTAGCCATGGTCAGCGATATAGAACAAAGAGTGAGGGACCAAGAATTCCTGATGAACAAGAGCTGGACCGAACTTGGAGGCGGAGATGTGTTTATCATTTTCATATTTTTAATTTTTGTTTATTGCTGAGTTGATACGCGTGTCCTGACTTGTCAAGTGAGGGTCTAGATTTTGTAACAGCCAGTCATCCTCTCCTGTTGTCGACTCTTGTCATAGCAATCTCAAAGCACGGACGCTGCGTGGCACCAGACCTCGTGCCTTTTTGGGGGTCCGGTGGACAACTTGTGCACCATGCGGAGTGTGCGACAAGCTGTGCGCGCTGTGCGCGAGAATGGCATAAACTGTCAGAATAAATAAATAAATAAATATATATATATATGTCAGAGATTGTGAGACATGTCAGAAAGTGTGCCAGAACCAATGTCAGAAAGAATTTCAGCAGAAAAGTCAGAATATATGTCAGACAATATATCAGGATATATGTCACATGGTATTTGCCAGAGGAAATGTCACAATAGATTTCAGAATAGGATCGGTGTCAGAATATGAATATATATATATATTTATTTATTTATTTCAGAAAATATGTCACAATAATTTCTTGGCTACATGTCAGACTACGTGTCAGCGCACATGTCACTACAAATGTATACAAATGCCCGAAAAATACGTAGCAGATACATGACTTTGTTGTTTGTCAGAACTAGTGGGGGGTAAAAAATAGTGCATCTTGGGGAAAAGCAATGAAGGGATGATTTTTCTCTAAACGTTCAATCTGGGGAGAACGTTTTAGTTTTGTCCTGGAGGTACTTTCGGTGCTTCTGCCTACTTGAATCAGGTGAATGAATATCCCAGTGCCTTTCTGAAAAGCTGCAGCGCGGAAGATGAGACCAAAGCAAGGCGAACTTGTTCCAAATTCTTGGGTCAGCAAGATCCAAGGCCGGATCCAAAGGAGATCATGTTCAAGGAACATTTCGCTCAGTTTCAACGAATTTTCCAGGACTGCATCTTTGACGTATGCCTTGGTGGTGGTGAAATCGCTGCTGAATTGGCAGCAGAATATGTACGAACGCCTTTTGGTGATCGATCCGCCAAGTGACGATCGGAAGATCGGCCATTACATAAAGTTCACATATGACCCATATGATCTCATATGATTTCATTAGCTAGGCTCCTTGTGCCTGCGCACATCGTGCGTCTGGTGGTCGGCAGCAAAAGACCGAGCCGCTTCTTGCACATGGCCTAAGTCTATGCCGGGGGATGAATGTGGTCTTCAGGCCGAAACGGTTTAGGGCGCGATGGGGTTTCCTGGAAGATTTGAATGGAATTGATATATACATATACTATACATACACTATACATATATATATATATTCATAATATAATATATATACTATGTTATATTATATTATTTTATTTTTTGCTATTATATTATTTGTTATTATATTTTTCATTACGTATTGTATATTAATATTGTATCCTTTATTGTATATTATGATATATTATACTTGTTTGTATATATTTACTATCAGTATATGTATATATATATATATCATTTTCATTATTTGTTTTTATATATGGTATATATTTATCATATTATATTATTTATTATTTTAAATTATACCATTTTTTATATTATACTATAATGTATTATATTATATCATATTGTATCATATCATTTTATATTAACTTATTTTGTATCATATCATTTTATTATATCATATTGTATCATATCATTTTATATATGATAAAACATATTATGCGTTTTATACTATACTTTTTGATATATTATACTTTTTGATATATTATATATTGTATTATGTATTATATATTATATATTTTATTTTGTATTATATATTGTATATTTTTGTATGTTATATTATATATTATATATTAATGTTTATTTCATCATTTCATATTTTATTGTATTAAATGATATTACATTTTATTCTATTATATTATATTATATTTTTGTTATATATATATTGTTTTTATATTATATATATATTGTATAAAATATATATATTACTATATTTTGTTTTTTGAAATATATTATATTATTTATTATATGTTATGTTATCTTATTTTATTTCTTATTTCTTAAATTTTATTAAGTCATATTTATATTATACTTTTGTTTTGTTATATTTTATATTACATATTTTTCTTGCCACATACATATATATATATATTTTTTATCTTATTATGTTTTTATATATATATATAATACACTTCGATTTTGATTCACTTCTGTCTTCAGTTTGAACCCACTTTTGGATACATACTTTTCCATATCGGGGATGCAACCCCGACCCATGCCAGGCCGCCCTGGACCTTGGTCTTCGAAAAATGCCCGAAGCCGACCTGGGCCAAAGGTCGACATGAAAAATGTTGAAATTCGACGCCAAATTTGCCAAATATTGGGCTTGTGGAGATTGATGTTAGTTCAATATTTTTGGTGTATGGATGGTTGTGGGTGGATTTCTACAGCATGGACGGAAATACACTGAAAGCACTTTTGAGCTGGGAGTGCCATTGTTTCCGCAGCAACCTGGTTGGAGCAGAGCTCGCCCTTTACCATCTTCATTCATCAGCTCCGCCAAATTTCTTCTGAAAGCAGAATACGTCATGTTTTCCTGGTAGAAAAGTTGAAAAGGTTGGATATGTAGATGTTAGATGATGTTAGGGAGTGCAAATTGAGGAAACGCCAGTACCCTTTTCTTCACTCTTCATATACTTGACAGAAGGACCTGCGTCTACAACCCGGAGACCTAAAGCAGCGAACATCTTTGCTCCAGAGGGACAGAGAGTGAGAGAGGGGGAGATATAGATAGATAGATAGGTAGATAGATAGATAGAGGGATAGAGAGAGGGATAGAGAGAGGGATAGAGAGAGGGATAGAGAGAGGGATAGAGAGAGGGATAGAGAGAGGGATAGAGAGAGAGAGAGAGGGATAGAGAGAGAGAGAGATACATAGATAGATAGATGGATGGATAGATAGATAGATAGATAGAGATAGATAGATAGATAGATAGGTAGATAGATAGATAGATAGAAAATATTGAGATAGATAGATAGATAGATAGACCGATGGATAGACAGATAGACAGATAGATAGATTAGATAGATAGATAGATAGATAGATAGATAGAGATCGAGAGAGATAGAGATAGATAGAGATAGATAGAGAGAGATCGAGAGAGATAGAGAGAGAGAGAGAGATAGATAGATAGATAGATAGAGGGATAGAGAGAGGGATAGAGAGAGGGATAGAGAGAGGGATAGAGAGAGGGATAGAGAGAGGGATAGAGAGAGAGAGAGAGGGATAGAGAGAGAGAGAGAGAGATAGATAGATAGATGGATAGATAGATAGATAGAGATAGATAGATAGATAGGTAGATAGATAGATAGATAGAAAAGATTGAGATAGATAGATAGATAGATAGACCGATGGATAGACAGATAGATAGATTAGATAGATAGATAGATAGATAGATAGATAGATAGATAGATAGATAGATAGATAGACAGATAGATAGATAGATGGATTATATATTGGTTGATTGATTGATAGATAGACAGATAGATATATATTTAAGTAGATAGCAGAATAGATAGCAGAATAGATAAAATAGATCGGATAGTAGGATAGATGGGATAGATAGGAAAGACAGGATGGATAGGAAAGATAGGAAGGATTTAGGAATATATGGGTGGATGGATGGATAGATAGGATAAATAGAATAGATAGGATAGATAAGATAGATACGGAAAGGATAAGATAAGATAAGATAGAATAAGATAGGATAAAACAGGATAAGATAGGATAAGATACAATCAGAAAGGATAAGATAGGATAAACTAGGTAACGCCGCCCGTAAAGACGCGGGCTGTTTTGCACTCAGGCATTTCTGATGTGCTTCAGGACATGTGGCACAGCTGTCCAAAGGTCTTTGCCATTGTTGTATCTGTACTGCCAGCTGTAGGTCCATTGCCAAAGGCTTTGATTGACATGGCCTGCCTTTGACTTTGTTGCTAAAGTTTTAGGCAGGTAATCTTTCAAAGATCGCCATTGCCTATCCAGCGTATGGAAAGAAACGAGGGGAAACCAAGAACATGTCTCTGAATCTGCATTAAAACTTCTGGATGCCATTTCATGAATCCATGAATGTTCTTACTTCATCCTTTTATGTGCTTGGGTGTGCATCGTGACACCCACACACAGATATATATATATATATATATATGTGTGTGTTTGTGAGTTAGAACTATTTCATGTCTTTGTGCAGCCATATGCATGTCTAAAAAAATGACATTAATTACCGCCGCCCTAGACGCCCACCACCCCCCACCCCAACCCCAGCGTATGTCACGTAACGCTTCCAAGGAACGTTAACATCACCCCACCCACACCCACCCCAACCCCAGCGTATGTCACGTAACGCTTCCAAGGAACGTTAACATCACCCCACCCCCCCCCACCCAGACAACCCACAAAAAGTATGAACGCAGTAAAAAACGTTAAAAAAACCAGGGTCTACGGGCGGCGTTAGCATAAACTAGGATAAGCTTGTACAAGCTCGGATAAGCAAGGATGAAATCGGATAATCTAGGATAAGATAAGACAGAATAAGATCGAACAATTGAGATAGGATAAGATAAGATAATGTAGGATGCGATAGGATAGATAGGATACGAACGGGTAATGTAGGATAAGATCGGATAAGTTAGGATGAGATGTATTGATAGATAGATAGATGAATAGATGGGTGGACAAATAGATAAATGGATGGAACGATAGAAAGCATAGATAGATAGATCGATAGATAGATAGATAGATCGATAGATAGATAGATAGAGAGGGGTAGAGAAAGAGATAGATCGAGATAGATAGAGAGAGATAGATAGAGAGAGAGAGAGAGACAAAAAGAGAGAGAGAGAGAGATAGATAGAGATAGATAGACCGATCGATAGATAGATAGATAGAGATAGAGATAGAGATAGATAGATAGATAGATAGATAGATAGATAGATAAGATAGATAGATAAGATAGATAGATAGAGATAGATAGAGATAGATAGAGGTAGATAGAGATAGATAGAGATAGATAGAGAGAGATCGAGAGAGATAGAGATAGATAGAGATAGATAGAGAGAGATCGAGAGAGATAGAGAGAGAGAGATAGATACATAGATAGATAGATAGATAGATAGATAGATAAGATAGATAGATAAGATAGATAGATAAGATAGATAGATAGAGATAGATAGAGGTAGATAGAGATAGATAGAGATAGATGAGATAGATAGAGATAGATAGAGATCGATAGAGATAGATAGAGAGAGATAGAGAGAGATAGAGAGAGATAGAGAGAGATAGAGAGAGATAGAGATAGATAGAGATAGATAGAGATAGATAGAGATAGATAGAGATAGATAGAGAGAGATAGATAGATAGATAGATTGATAGATAGATAGATAGGTAGATAGATAGAGATAGAGATCTTTTTCTCTCTTTTTCTCTTTTTCTCTCTCTTTCTCTCTCTTTCTCTCTTTTTCTCTGACTATCTACCTACCTACCTATCTACCTACCGACCAATCTACCTACCTATCTACCAATGCATCTATCTATTTCTCTATCTATCTCTCTATCTCTCTCTCTCTACCTATCTATCTACCTACCTATCTATCTATCTATCTACCTACCTAACTATCTACCAATGCATCTATCTATTTCTCTATCTATCTCTCTATCTCTCTCTCTCTCTATCTATCTATCTATCTACCTACCTATCCATCTATCTATCTATCTACCTATCTAGCTATCTAGCTATCTAGCTATCTAGCTATCTAGCTATCTATCAATCTATCTATCTATCTGTCTATCTATCTATCTATCTATCTCATTTTTTTCTATTAATCTAATCTAATCTAATCTAATCTGGCCTAATCTAATCTAATCTAATCTAATCTAATCTATCTTATCTTATCTAATAATTTCTAATCTAATCTTATCTTTTCTTATCTAATTTAATTATCTTATCTTATCTAATCTTATCTAATCTTATCTAATATTATCTTATCTAATCTTATCTTAT